TCCGTCCAACCTCGCGCCTATGCAACTCCTATTTCTACCACTCCCAGACCTCCTGAAACTATTTTTTTTTCAATATTTACTTTATTTATACAAGAACTAGGGTACAGGCCAGAGGTGCGGAAGGGTGAGAGGATTCATCAGAGACAGAGTGGGGAGCAGAACAGGCAGACAGACCGAAAACACTGCTGAGGGGAGCAATGGGAGAGACAGGAGAGGTCTGCTGTGCCATGTGGGTATCTCCCTGACCGGCTGGGAATCAAAACCATGCTGCAGAGGCTGCGGACAGCTCCACAGCGCTGCGCTCAACCCGCTACGCCACCAGGAAGTCCCCTGAAACTATTTCTTGAAGGGTTGCTGCCGACTTTTCTCCTGTCAAATTCAACTACATTTCACACACTCTCTTGTAGGAGAAAACAGAATGGATTTTAAGGAGTTTGGAATGTGTCATCTTCCCAGATGTGTGCTGTTTGTAAGGCACTTAATGGCTCTGCCTCTGCCATCTACAAAATGGGTATAATAATGATGCTGACTCCATGCTACTATATTGAAATGAGATGTGAGCAAATGGGCTTTGTAAACTATAAATTGCATTTCAACTACTAGTCATTACTGCCTTCCCCTCACTAATAATTGGCCCCACCAATGTGCTGTCTTGTGCCCCCTGTCTCATTGGCCCTCCTTCTCTGACCCCTTTAGCTCTTTTCAAACAGGCTGCCAAAGGCAGGAATCCCACTGAATTTCTTTCTTTGTTCTCTGTAGTCTGACTCTATCCCAGTTGCAGCAATCCCTTACCCACAGATCTTCAACCCCACTCTAACACCTCTTTACAAGTCCTGGCTCAGACTGAGACCTGGGCCAGCCCAAAAGGATGACAACCTACCCTATTTTCTTATTTCCCAAGACTGAGAAGGCTTCTTCACTTCCCCAAGTCTCTTGAATCTGCCATCATTCTACTGCTTGAATATCTTACAGGATTAGACACCAAATATTTTATGTCCTATGGATTTCTTCTAAGTGTAACCAGTGAAAATAGAAAGTCTACACCAATATATCAGTTTCCTGTTGCTGTGCATTGAATGACCCTAAAACTTAAGGTTCAATTCAGTAAATATCCATTTAGTTCAATTCCGTGTGTCATTCTTTTGCTGGTCTCACCTGGCTTCACATGTGCTGTGATCAGCTGCTCATCGGCTAGTTCCTGACTTTGGGGATTGGCTGATTCTTTGCTGGGGAAAGGGAGATACTGGATGGACCACATGTTCTAAGAGCAGCCAGGAAGCAAATTCTGACACCTAAGCATTTTTGAAGTCTCTGACTGTCACATGTTTGCTATTGGCTCACTGGCCTAAGTAAATCACACAAACTCAGAGTGAGTGTTGGGAGGAGGCTACCAAAGAGCACAGATACAAGGAAGGGAAGAGACTGTGTACATTCTTGCAATGCTTGCTACCTGCAGTTAGCTTCAATTTCTTAGTATGGATGTTCCATGGAAAATCTCCTGTTCAGAGCATCACCAAGCAGCTCCAATACAGGTCTCCATTAAGGAATGCTAACCCCACCCATGCCTGCTCAGTGCTTTCTGAAATATTTACTTAGGTAGTGATACCATTGCTTGCAAGGTATTCTAATTGTCATGCAATACGAATGGTCATTTCCTTACCATTTCGTTACTACCTGTTATACAAGCCTAATTTCCCACTCACCAGACACAGAGCCTCAGGGACATACAGCAGGCTCCTCATTAAGGTGATCCTGTCTCCATGAAGGCTCAGTCCAGGCTCAACCCATCCCCAGGTGGAGAAAGACCACCAAGATTCCTATAGAGGTCATGTAGACCTGACAGGTTTTAAGATCCAGGCCAAGCAACGCTTTCATGGATAAGTAACACACATGTATTGCTTTGTCCCCATGTTCCCTGAGAAGCCACACACAGTGAAGGTTGGGGCTTGGGGAAGAGGACAGTGAGGATTTACCCTGTACACAAGGAGAACAGGATGCAGTTCCTGACCTCAGATGTCCCATCAGTGTGGTGCCACTGAGAGCTGCTGTGTGGGCCTTCACAGACCAGGATGCTCTTGACAGGCCAGAGTTGTCAAGGCAGGGGAAATGCAGGATTTGAAGTAAGTTTAGAAAGAAGAGATGTTTTCATGAGGGAACAAGAGGCTAAAAGAGAAGATGAATGGTGAAGAACAATAAGGTTGGCTTGCCTGGCCTACTGGTTCCACAGGCAGGAGAAGGCAGGAGACAAGATTGGATAAATAATATGGGCCAGATACAGAGGCTCTGACTGCCTGCATGATAGGATTTTAGTTTAACAAGGAATTGTCTCATGATCTTGACAAGAGGAAGAATAAGGAAGGTATTCTGTGAGGAGGAGAAGAAATGAAAGGAATATTAGTTACGGGATTGTGAGTCCAGATAAGTTAGGCCAGCGACCAGAAAAATAAAAGGGCATATTTGAGAGATATTGTAGAAGATTCAAATGTGCACTTCATATTAAGCTACACCCCAGAGTTAAATTCTGAGCCAACCCGACTTTTCTTTTTGGACTTAAGAACCACTTGTCAGAATTGTAGATTCTAGACATACTGCAGAGGAGTGAAGGGAGAGGGGTCAATAAGGGGAGGCAAGAGCACAAGGGACTATAATGACAGTTCACCTGGTGATGTGGTGGGGGGAGATTTATGGGGATTGCACCTGAGGGGAGAAATCAAATATGGTACGAAAATGAACAATGATGGTGTTTGCTTCGGCAGCACATATACAAAAATGAACAATGATGTAAGAAAGTTTTAAAAAAAATTATGACTTAGTTAGCTACCACTTTAAATGCCCATGAAGTTGGAAAAAAATAATTAAAAACAAAAAAGAAAAACAAAAAAGAAAACTTGCCAGGAGGATTAATTATATCAGTATAGAAAACCCAGGCAGATAAATGTACATTATCTATGTAAAGAATATTGGGGACCTTTATTTATCACTTGACTATTTGGGTAGAAATTCTTAATCTCTCATAACCAAGATGAAAATGCATACATTGTGCAAGAACGAAAAATGATGTTAAAAAATATATAAAATAAAATTTCAAAAATAAAATTTCAAAAAAAAAAGAAATTCTTAATCTCTCCCTTGAAACATGTATAAATGAAGCTCAAAGATTATTATAGGGCTGAATGAAAATATAACATGTTTAATATTTAATCTTGTAGTCAGACAAGATATAGTGCCAGATTATGTGTTCAATCTGAGCCTTACAAATAATAGCCAACCTTTAAACCTAGTTAACTCAGTGTTCAACCCTATCAAGTTATACCAGATTATTTACATTTTTACAATCAAAGGAACTCAGAGAGGTTAAGCTACTTTCTAAGATCATTCATTTAGTGAGAGAGAGAGAAAGCAGAAATTTGAATTCAGGTCTTCTGACTTCAAAGGCCATGCTCTTTCCCCCACATCACTGAATTTTCAGCCCAACACTGCAAAGCAGAGGTTTGTTCTCTTTAAAGAATCAGAATTAAAGGATCAGAATTTTAGATGTTTGTTCTCTTTAAAGGATCAGAATTTTAGGATAGAGCCTGATGAGTCTTGACGTTTCCTTAATGTAACAAGTTAAGTCTTATTTAAGGGAGAACAACTTGTGATTTTCTTCTATTGCTGAGCTAAAAAGATAATAAAAATGATAGCAAAGGTTATTAAAATTTATATGGAGACTAGCACAGATTGGAATAACTACAAAGTGAATTCTTTAAGCTGCAACAGAGAGGTGGTAAAATAGCACAATATGAGAGAAAACTTTCCTTTAGCTTCAGATGCCCAAATATGCCATCAAAAGACTGCTCAATTCTCAAATGCCAGTATTTCTGACTCCTCTAGAATCAATTCTTACTGCAAAATATCAAAGTCAGCAGAATAGTAGGTGTCCCAAAATGTCTTAATTCAGAGAATTAGTGTTAACTGAGCCTGATTAGCTCCATTTATCTCTAATTAATTACCTTTATCTAATTAGACACTTTGTTTCCAGTAGACATGGAGTCAAGTAGACTAGATTATTAGTGTAGTCATTGTGCCTTTACAAAATCCTGAAATTAATGAAACGTGCAAAAGAATCTGCGGTTCTAATTGCACAGGTGTTGCCTTATGGCAAAGCTTTATCATCTGGTTACACCAAGGGGTTATTAGTGACTTTTTATACAGAGGATGAGCCTATGAAATGTACCTTAGCAACAGCTCATTAGTTTAGGGTTGTTACTGTATTATTTATTACATTCAGCCTTCCCCATTATCTAGATTGATTCATGGGTCTATATATTTTTCCTCTCTTCTGTGCAGAAAAAATAAAATAAAATAAACCATCATTATGAAGAGTCCAGATGCAATGTGGAAAAATGCAAAATGTGTTCATCAGCTACAATGTGATTCTAAGATAGAAAGCTCTAATGCTAGATGAAATCAGAGTCAAATTTATGAGGGTGGGGGTTCTTTGGAAAAAGAACCAATTTAAATTACTAAGCAGTACAGAATGATTCATATGTGATTAAAAAAAGTGTCTATCCTAATGTCTTCACATAACTGAACTGGCATACAAAGGTATGTGGAAGAAAAATGCAAAATGTTTTCACAAGAAAACATATTTGTGTTATTTATTTTCACTTCACATTTTTCCAAAATGGGTTGAGAAGAGATCTCTATATGTTCACCAACAACATTTATAAAAATCCCTCATCTTACTTTTTCTTTGCTTAAGGACAGATTTGTTACCAGATGGGGAGAACTAACAAATTATACAATCTAGCTTCTCTGAAAAAGCAAGATTTCAGTGCCTGCTTACAAAATGAAAAGTGCTTTTTCATGGCAAGGTTAGGTGTCTGCAAAAGACTAAAATATCCCAACCTTTATATTTCCAATTTTTCCCCCTCATAACCATTTCAAGAAGCACTGTTTTTCACAATCACAGAGTAATTAAACAGCTAGAAGTAAATCCAACCACAGTTCTATTCCAATACACAAACATGTTTATTGACAAAGCAGTAATTCCTTTAAATAATTTGTCAACATAAATATGTCAAATGGGTTTTAAGATCATTTCTCTCTGTTCCCCAACAAAAATTCCTCTACTGATGTGAGCTAAATATTACTGAATCTAAACTACTGAAGTGATAACAGGTAACTGTTATACAGAGCATGACAACTATTTTCAGGGGTTATAATGAATATTTAATGACCCTCCTTTTAAGCAGGAGCATATAACTTTTCATGTCTACCTTATGAAAATTATAACTATTAATCTAAAATTACAGTCCCTACCGAAATAGCCAGGAATTACAGAATACAGCTAAGTCAGAGTATTACATAAAGATTCCACACAACACAGGGGCATGAGGAAGCTCCACCCTCCTCTTTCGCTCAATCCAAATCCTCTCTTAGAAACGTACAGAATGATTAGCACAGAAGATATTTGAACCCAGATATAAAAAGGTTATTATTTCTATTAATAAATAAGTACCTTAGCCAAAGTCATTTTCACTTTTAACTAGCTCATAATTTCTAAACAAAAATAACATGTATATAAAAAAAAACCAAGGAACATAAAATTTATCAGAAATACAGAAATTTTATACCTTAAATTTTATTTTATATGTAATTTTCCAAATTGTGTCAATCAGAAACTACAAATATGACTTCAGAAAAGAGCTCTGAAAAAATGCATGAAGTGGTTTAAAATAGGCTCACTTCTGGTATTCAATAACATCTGCATGATTTCATATGCCTGCGATGCTGCAGAGAAACTCATCTGCCTCCTTTCCTGGGTGGGCTTGCATTTTTTAACAGGGTAGTTGAAGACCAGTGCTACTGCAGTCGCAAATATGTATTTCAATATTGTATTATTTTTTGTTTCAAAAGGCACACTGTGCTTATAGAATTCAAGGTGGGGGACCCTAATAGCATGGAGATTAGTCAGTGAAGTCTGCATTTTTCCCAGTTGTGACTCTCTTTGTCAGAAATTAAGTGTCCAGTTGAATGGTGCATCCTGCCGGCACCAGCTCATCAACACGATTCTGCCTCTTTAGGACTCCAGCTAACAGGCCAAGGTGGCATGTGTTGGGTCACATTCTCCAACTGTGCACATACTCGCTGAACACATTTCTAACTGAGCAGGTGCTCCTAACTCAAGCCAAAGGAAGATCAAATGAGAAAAGGAATTCCAAATGCCCTCTGTAAAGTGCTTCAGAAATGGAAGATGGCAGCATTCTTGGCTAGCACTACCTAAGGATACTGAACCCTGGATGCAGCTTCATCTGCTCACCTTAGTTGCCTTGCTATGACCCCGACACACACACATACACTCACACACATGCACACACAGCATTTAGTCACTCAAGCCTTCATCGGTCCTGGGTTCTTTCCCGGACTTCCACTGGAGATTTCTTCTGATGGAGAAGAATTCCTATTCAGGAATGTGTACCAGTTTATATTTTAGTAGGTTTATTTTGCTAGGTACAGATATACAGGCCCTACCTACAGTATAGTAAAGAGCAGGTAAACAAACATTGTGAAGTTTATCTATGCTTTTTATTTACTCTGTGTTTAATAACCAAACTTCCCGGGATGTGAGCTGCAGACCAAATTCCTTAGCACCCAGTGGCTCTGAGCAAATGCAAAACATGGTAGCAAGATGCTAGAAGTAACGAGACAGATGGAAGGCATGCACCAGTGGGACGATTTGGGAGTGGGGAAAGGTTTTTTTGTTTTGTTTTTCAAGGGATGGGGGAAAACCTACTTTGGACAGTGGGAGAGAAAAAAGCTGCAGTTGGAGGCTTTTTAACATACACAGAACAGGTTAATATTGTGCTAAAAATATATTTATGTATGAGGTTGGTTGAATCATGTGAAGGGTGGGTACCCAGAATGAAGACACGGAACCTAATGTGCTCAAATATCCTCTCTCGTTGTTTGAAAAGTTGTCTGGAGAGCAGTGCAAAGCCTCTTCTTCCTCTCGGGCCTGACGCGTCTGCTGCCGTGCTGTCCTCAGCAGCGCCGTGGGGTGGTGACTAATTGCCCCCGTAAATCACCGAGCACCACTGTGCTACTCCGTTTATTTTTCTGACAGTAATTTAGTGCTTGCTCTTTCCCACACTTGTCATTCTGTGTTTTTCCTCACATTAGAAGCCTGTAGAAAAAGGACAGTAATTAACAGTGCAATACATACTCATGGAAGCTCTTTCATCATATTGTGATAATTGTGCTCCTTGTCTGTCAAGGTAACCTCTCAGTTTCCAAGCTTCATGCAGCACTATTTGTCAACTCTAAACTGAGGACATCGTTCTGACTGGAGCTGAGCTGTTTCCAACCAGCTCTCCTATTTGTCCAAAGAGGAGGTCATTTATATTTTAGGCAATGTGTCAAAAAAATTTTAGCCTGATCCGCACAATGAGGTGAGAGAGTCATAAGAAAGATACACCTGGACTCTTTGTTATGGGTGGGGCTGACTATGGATGGGTAAGAATGTTGGGGGGCAGGTGAAGAGAGACGGCATGCCGGCGGAGACTTTCCAAAATCTTAACCAAATTTTTCATACTGTCCAGGTTAAGAAGAAAGAAGCCCTTTCTTTCATACCAATATCTACATTTCCTTCTTCTTTTTGAATAATCAAAATAATTTCTGGAGCTCTTTTGTACATGGGTGATGTCACCAACCAATTTTCCATTAGAAAACAGTTGAAAAGTAAGGGACTGATGATTTCAGGGAAAAAGGAGGATCTCTGTGCCAACCACCAGCTGCCAACAAAAGGTTTTGCAGCATTTTCCTGAGATGGTATAAAAATGTTACAGCTTTGTAGTTTCAAAGCTCTCACAGTATAATTAATAAACACATAATAATCAGCCATGCTAGAGGCATTACTCTCCATGTGCAAATCCGCTAAACGCAATGAATTCTTTTAGACCTGCTTCCTGTGCTTCAGGAATGTCTGGGAAAATAAAAGCTAGCTCCCTACTTTCCTGCCACAAGGTTAACTTAAGAGTAACATATCAGGGAAATATTTTTTGAAGCTATTTCAGATTTTATTGAGGCTTTTTGACTGCTCTGCACCTTTCACTCAGCTTTTTTTTTTTTTTTTTTTGGCACTGGCACTGTTTTTTTTTTTTTTTTTTAATATCCTTCTCCCACTGTCATAGACAGAGGCTAATGGGATGTGTGGTCAAGATTTTGGGATCCATCAATGCCTCTGTCTAAAATTAGCATGGACCCAATACATCAGCTGCCAGAGCTGTCACAATCTCTAGTCTCTGATCTTCATTATATACTTTCCTGGTGCTACCTGTCTCTTCTGCAGACGGAAAACTACAGGCCCAGCCAGCCCTGACAAAGGGGTCCACCACACCCTTCAATGTCACACTCCACCAGAAAGCCATCCAGAAGCTTCCCCCAGAAATGTGGTTAAAAAAATAAACACCATTCCTGCTGTTCCTTAACATGCTTCTCTCCAGAGAAGGCAGTATCTCTCCACAAAGGCTTTTCAGTGGGAATTAGTCTATTAAAAACTATTAACATAATTAGGAATCTTCTGCCCTTGTAACTACAGAGACCCAAGCCTTGATTATTCATGTTCCCGTCATTGTTATCGGGGTCTCCTCATCTCATTTACACTGCCTGACCTCTCTGGCTCGCTGGGAGCTGGGTCTCTGTGCTTATGAGGGTTGCTTGTTTCTTTTTTCGCAGAGATTATATCAGTAACTGCTAAGAAGGTCATGATAAAATGAAAAGAGTAAACCAGGGATACAGCTGGGGACTTTCCTGTTCTTTTCCTTCCCCTGATTAGCAAATCAAAGCTGCCTGAATGATTCACACTTTTCACCTGATTTTGTCCTTTTCACTAATCATGTAGCAATTTTCTCTTGACTGACAGTTTTCTTTATAATTGGCCCTGATCTAGTAGGGTTCTAATAACCAGAAAATCCCCTCTGTGGGCCCAAAGGCTCTGGCGAATCGTCTCTCTTCTTTCCGTGGGCCATCTGTGGGCTGCGGTGAGCCACGTTTGTGCGAATAGAAGCTGCCTAATCTAAATGTTCAATAATGGTGTGAATATTCTATGAGGAGTGGAGTTAAGGACTTGAGGTAGCAGATTCTAATTACTGTTCATTTGCCAGAGTATCAAAGCCTAATTACTGTTCATTTTATGCTCCTGAGGAAAGGCGAAGTCAAAGCAGGGTTGTGCAGCCGCCCCCCAGAGATCCTCAGTAAGCCTTTATCTGTCTTTCTGTTTAAATAGGTTGAGTGTTAGTATGTTAAATTACATCCTAGAAGCAAACAGATTCCACAAACAAACACCGCGATCCATGTTCTAAATAAAGAGAGGATGGCATCTGTAATACCTGGTTTATACCTCCACTCCCCCCTTTCTGATTTATCTTTTTAATACCAGCAATAAATATCTGGAAGAAATTTAGTGAGCTATCCCTTCTCGGGCGGCAGTTCATCTTTGAAAGGATTTTCTCACCTCCTCAACGGAAGTTGCTGCAGTCGCTAGCTGCCACCTACTTGACAATTTCTGTCACCAATTAGCAGCTAAATCAACATCAGCAAAAACAAAAAGTGAAGATGCGGATGGAGCCTGGCTGCGTGCGTGCGGGCAGAGGCCCCACGCGAGGGACCGGCGGCTGTGGGCGGCGTGATCGTGGCACATCCCTCCTCCTGCAGCCGCTGCTCGCGGGGTGCGTGTGCGCCCTTGTGCATCTCTGCATGGACACGCGCGGACATATTTCCTCAGCCACATTAGCAGGCATCATATTGTTATCAATTCGCCGCGGCGCTCAGCAATAGATCAATGTGCCTGCCTTGGCGGGGAGGGATTGATGGGCCGGATTGAATTGTCTAGTTTTTCCTATCAGGAAGTTTGTCAGGTAATCTGCTGGCTGCAGTGTGAATTTACAAGCTGCAGACGACAACCTAATGAGGGAGCCAAGCTGTTAGGCGGGCTGCTCGCTCCATGATGAGATGCTAAATGAAAAGCTGGTGCGACACACGCAGTTTGTTATCATTCAATCTGCTTGAAACCGCAAACTGGTCATTATCCAGCCATTATTTTAGTTGATTTACAATCGCAGTGGATGAAGCAATTGCTGTGGCTTGTTCAATCCCCTGGCGGGAAGATAGGAACCAGCTTGTAATTTGCATTTACACGATCTGACTGAGCAGCTTATTAGATCTGGATATTTATTTTCCACTTAACCGATGTTTGATTACACTTTAATAAAGTACAAGAAAACTGTCTGGCTGCCTGCGTCTGATTGATCCTGCCGGGTGGTTTCTCTGGGATTTTTCGTAATGAAACAAGAGAGACCAGGGATGATGCATCTTAAGAAAGTGACAAAAACAGTTGACTATTACTCACTCGGGCTTTCGGGCGACGCGAGGAGCCGGGCGCTGAGAGGCGCGGAGGCCCCCAGCTCGCAGCCCTCGCCCGCCGACGCCCCAGGGCAGAGCCGGGACTGGGCGCTTTCGGAAGGGGCACCCGGGCCTCGCGCCACTGTCTGTTCCAGGGAAGGTCTCGCTCTCGCTCACCTTCCAACTCAGGAGAGAGTGAGCGGGGGAAACTGGAAGGGGTGACGGAGCTGCCCTGGGGATCTGCGAGCGCGGGCGACTCGCCCACAGCAGGCGAGGAGCAACCCCCAAGCAAGCCCCCGGGTCAGGGGCGCAGTCATTCCGGGACAGACGCGGCTCTGGCCCGGTAGGTTCCCGGTTCCCCTCCCATCGAAAGCGTCTCCGGCGCCAGTCAGGCCTGTTCAGACCACCTCATCCTCCGCTGGAGGTTGAAGGCAGGAGATCCGAGGTTCTCCAGGCCCCGGGCCCGAGGCAGCCTGCGCCCTCGGGGCGCACGGCTGGGCTCGAAATGGGTCGAGGCGGGCAGAAGGGCGCGTCTTATTGCACCCCTTTCGCGCCCGTCTGCTGCGGGAGCAACCAGCAGCGAAAGGTACTTGGCGCCCGGCCTGCGCTCAGAAGCCCTGCCCTTGCGGAAAGGCGACTCCAGCCCCACCCCGGGCAGGGTGGGGGTCCTCGGGGTCAGCATCATCTTCCCCGGGTCGGACTGGCCCCGAGCGCAGGACTGGACGGCCGCCGCTAGCGAGGCCAAGTTTGCAGGGAGGCGCTCGGGCCCAGGCGCAGCCGAGTGGGGGGCGCTTGGGGCGGCGAGTTCTGGCGACACCCGCCGCTCCCGGGCGCTGCCCGCGGGCCACGTGCCACGGCCCAAACCAGCCTGCCCCACGCCCCCCTTCTTCGTCCTGCGCGTTGGGGTGCAAGGCGCCAAGGCGGGGATACTGAGGTCCTGACGGGACAGGATCGTCCACCCCTCCTCCGGGACGCCCCGTCGGCTTTTCTAACTCAGGGCGTCGTTGTTGGGGTGGGGGCGGGGAACCCAGAAAGAAGGTGCAGTGTCTTGAGTCCAGGCAGATTCCGATCTGCAGCCCAGCACCCGCAGCGCGCTGCCTAGGTGACTGGTTTCAAGATGTTATGAAATTCTTATGGAATTGGCAAAAGAGAGCTGTCTAGAAATCCAAATTTCCCTACCTCGTTAGCATCTGGAGTAGTCCTTTGGCTGCACAGTAAAACCGATTTTGTTTTCTTTCTCCTACCCCTTCCGTCCCCCAGAGGGAAAACTCAGTTATCTCCAGATCTTAACTCAGTTGTTCTGACCTAAAATGGAAACATATCCCTTAACAATCTTCACAGACAAGAATGATTGTAGAAATTCTGCCAGTAAATAACGTTCTTTAGACGCAGGCTATTAACTATACAAGTTGCATTCCTGCTATTTACTTGTGAAACAAGATGAAAATCCCCAAGGGCCAAGAGTGACCAAAAGTGTTACTACAATGCTGCTAACAGTGAGGAAGAACAAAAAAGAAACCGATTCCCTCAATTTTTCATTTTCTGATAACTTTAAATACCTTGGCATTTTTAAGATCCAGGTGGCATTTGTTGATAATTTAACTTACTAAATTTTAGAGGTTCATTTTGCCTTAACTATCAGTAGAGTTTATTTTCCTTAACCCAAAAAGCCTTTTCCTTAAACTTATTTTTTAATTGAATTTCTCTCCAAACGACCATATTACCCACCCATCCCTGTCTTAAGGGGCATCTATAAAATAAATGACATACCTTTGCATATTACAATCATGAGTAAATGTTGCAAATTAACACTTTCTCAAACTAGTAAACTTTATTAAATATTGTTTTCACATAACTGAATTAGAATTTAGATTCAAGATTTTAAGGTGGGAGAGATTTTTGCTTTTATTAAATAGGTTAACAACTAATATCCTTACAAATAGATATCTAGTAATTTATCTGGAATTAAGTACATTTTCAGTGAAATAAATCCATACTGATGAGGCTGGTTGGTGGCAGTGAAACTGTGCAAGGGGAGAGACAGCATTGTCAGTGCAGGTAATTTTTACCCTGAATACGGTGTGTTAGTTTTTTTAAATTATTTTGATTCTTTTCCTACAGTTGCCAAGACTTCCATCTCCACCGTGGCTGTGCACGTGTACAGTGGTTTTGAAGCAGCAAAGGACTATGAGCTGCAAATGGCGTCAATCTAGGGTTTAGGCAAGCCTCGGATGCCTGCAGTTCTATGGTTCAGAGCCTTAGCCGACATATGCCCCAAAGGTGCGCTCTGTAAATGCCTTCTACTCCAGTGGACAGCAAGACTTCTGGCAGAGGCTAGGGGGTTAGACAGGACCCCCTGAGAATAGGAGCAAGGAGTGGGAAACATCCCAACAGTAGCAACACCCTCATCCTTTTGGACAAGGGAAGGAGCAAACACCACACATATTTCTTTCACACACAATTCATTGATGAGGATTTCTCTAGCTTCCTTTCATGTTATGAAAACAACTAACAGAAATTCAGTGCAAAATGGGTTTCAAACTAAAAGACATAGAAGTCAGGATATTCAATTTTTTGATTAAGTACAAATTATGATTCGTAAACAACACATGCCAGAAGTTCTTTGTGGCAAGCATATTCACTGAAGGCTGAAGATCTGGGGCATCACATTACAATGTGGAAACCACAAGTGTGACTTCTCTTTCCTTCAGTCTTAGCTGCAACACTAGAGTAAATCTGGTTTCAGAGCAGGCAAAATGTGATCTACTTGTAAATTTTACACCGTTGATGCCTGCCTATGGGCAGCCCAACCTATAAGACTGTTTTTAAAATTAAGAGGAAACTTTTAAAGAAAATCATTTGATTGTAGCTTCCCCATCTTTTTCTGGCCAGAAGCCTGGTAGGAGATGTTTTTCTGCTGTCCTCAGCTGTTCCCATGCCTCAGTGGGGCCAGAAAATGAACACATATTAGTTCTAAGATGTTAATAGAGACTTTCTGATTGGGACTAACCTGGAGACCACACTTCCCACTTTGAAACTAACTCCTGCTGCAGTGAGGACAGTAGGCATTTGGAAAGAGCAAGGCATTCTGTGGACTATGGGGGTTGAGGGCTGGCTAGATATTTAAAAAGAGACAGTTTTCCCCCATTTTCCCAAGAGGGAAAAACATTAATAACAAGACATACCAATAAAGAATACAGAGGCAGCTGGACTACTAACCTATAGCTGGTGTTGTTTTCAATGTTTAGAGAGAAACACACACACACACACACACACACACACACACACACACACCCCTACCTTCTCATTCTTAATTCCTGACAAAAACAGCTGAAAATAGCTCTGCACCTATTTCCTGGAGAGTTGAAGAGTGAAGGCATTGTTCAGATTCAGATGTCCTATACTTAAGTCAGTCCTTTGTGAAACAGGAGGTTCTCTCCTTACCCTGGAAACAAAATTGAACTGTGCAAGCAGTTGCAACCTCTCTGAACAGAGATCCTAGAGGAGAAACTTTCAAATTTCACCAAAAACTTTAAGTGTCTACAAAGTAAGAGTTTCTGCATCTGAAAAAAAGGGGGGCCTGAGATCATGTGAGGGGGCTCTTGGCACTGAGCTTGCATAACAGTTGTGGGTGTGCATGGGTGGGGGCAGGATGGAGGCCAAGGTCTGATTATGTTTTAGGACTATATCCTGTACAGGTGGGATTGGGTCACTAAGAGCACTTCAATTGGTTTCCAACTGGTCTTTGCTATCTATCCTGTGGCATCTTTCTCATGGCTTTGGAACCTCAAGTAAAGACCTGCATCAACCACCTCTGAGGGCATCCTTTTCTATAGGACAAGAGAAATCTCCCTCAGAGGAAGACAACTTTTAAAGGACAAGAGCCACTTTCTTTCCCTCATAGACCTAAAGAGAAATTCAGCAGGGTGGCATTTTCCTGCTTCTAAACACACCACGACCAACTTACCCAGGCTGCTGCAGTGGGGGGAAGCCAAGAGCCACTGAATTAAGGCAAAGGAAATACGACCTAAGGATGGAAGTAGAACAAACAAATATTTTTCTAGCCTCTTCTTATCCTGCTCCTGTCCCTCCCCTGGTGAGAGGGGAGAGAGAGAATAAGCCACCAGAGTCCACTAGAAGACTCTGAGTTTCTGTTCTTAAACGGCTCCTTTTCTAAGGAGGAACAAGGTCTGTTTTCTGACGTGGGGCCTCAGATGCTCTGTTATTGCAACTTAATTTTGTCACTGCTTCTTTTCAAAGATTATTTGGAATGAATTGTTTCTTTTGTTTACTATCCAACAAACGACCTCTGCTAATCTTATATTTTATCTCCCTAACATATGGAAAAGCTATTTATTCTAGCCAATCACAATAAAGTGAAGAAAACCCCATTTTATGGAAAAGTATATATCACTAGTCTGTTGATCATTAAAGATATGATTACCAGTGAAAACCCTCCGAAGGTGGCACATTTATGCTTCCAGGAACAGATGGGGACACGCATTTTCCTTGCAAATACTTTTGAAATTGCTCTACTGGTAGCAGTATAAAAATGATATACAGATGCCAGGGCCGGCATGGCCAGGATGAGTGCGCCAGATTTACACAGTAAAGCCTTCACACGCGGGCTGTCAGTTTTGATTGATCTCTGCTATACCTCAGGAACTTGTTGACTAGGTAGGGAAACAGTGCAAATAATTCACTGCAGCAAGTCAGATAATTCACACAACCAATCGGTCTGCTTCACTTTCTGGCTGTGACATACGAGCCTTCCCTACAAAGATGCATCATTTTCCAGCTTGAGCAATATTCAATGTCAGGGAAGAAAAGGTATTAAAGCCACACAAAAGGAGGTGGACTGTAGCAGGACCAGAAGTTGTTTTGGTAATGGAGGCCAGATCCTGCTCTACTCTAAGTCCTACCAGAGTGTTCAGGCCCAATTGTCATTATCATATTGATTAAAAAAAAAAAAAAAGTTCATCATAGTGCAATTTTAGGTTTAACGCCAAAGGATCGGGAAAGAGCAAAGAATTATCCCACAAAAGCACAACATTCTTACCACAGGGACGTTTCCCTGTTCCAGTTCATTGATGGAGTTGATTAAGTTTAAATGAAGCAGACACTGGATAAAAGTAAGGGTATTGACCACTGGGCACTGCGATCCGTGCTTGAAAGAACCTGATACATGCAGAAAAGCAAGATTTGCTAAATGCTCTAATCTTCAATCAAATCTTACATCAATACAGACAAAGTTTGGTAATGAGAGATTCAATGAAGCATGCGGGAGAAAGAATTAATCCTCTTGGTCTAAACTGGCTTCAACTTTGAAGCTTGCTCCGAAGGAAAGACAGTTATCTAAATGCTAAATAAGAAACTTATTGTACTTTTCATGGCATGCTAATCTTTTGTCTATTTCATCTCTATTATGTGTATGCTCCTAGATTGCAGTTGTCATGGTGATTATATCAAACCTCACTCGGGGAATGGTGGTAAAAAGCTATGCTCGGAGGTGAAAAAGACCTCCACGCAATCCACGGTAAGATGAAAAAAATATATAAGGAGTAGGGTAAGTAGGTGGACAAGTATTGCCAAACCCCTCCTCGGTTTCTCTCCCCAGGCCCCAGCCCCACTGGAGTCAGGGTCAATGCACCATTCCAGGGGAGGCCCCCCCACAAGGCAGGCAGGCGAGCAGCACTGTGTGGTTATGGGGAAAGCAGGCTCATCACCCTCCTTACCTGAAACTCCTACCCCCATGAACATAGTTGGCCCCGGGCTCCTCCCTCCCCTCACCTTGCCCCATTCCCCAAGCTCTGAGACCAGCTGGGCAGGCAGCAGGAACCGAGAAGGCGCAGAGAACAAGAGCTTGGACACTCCGGCCCCGCCCTGCAAGGCTGGGTGGGCAGAATGAATACCAAGAGGAGCAACTCACGAAGGCCAGGAGAGAGGTGGACGCTCCAGGGTCATCTAGAGCCCTGGACACCAAAGGTGACCCTGCATCCTTTATGTGTTTTACAAAAGTTGCCAAATTAAGACAGGATTATAACTGCTGCAGTCCTTGTCAGGGCTGAAAGGTTGGGAGTCTCAAATATGCCCCAGCAGTGTTGATGAAAAGCTTAAAAAGTAATAAAAGGGAGAAAAGAGCGAGGAAAGTAACATGTATAACTCTTATTAAAGAGAAGAGCCACGGAGAGGTTGTGAACTTGAATCACTGTTTGAACTTTAATTTGTTCATTAACAGGATTTGCCCCTCACTGCGAATGTTATTACTTCCCTTTGCTGCTCAGTAACAACTCTGGGCATAATGAAAGAGTTTGGCAAAAAGTTAAATGCCTGGTAATTAATTCATTTAATTGAAAAAGTGGGGGAGAGAGAAATAGAGGTCTCATTGCCATTGCAGGAGCAGAAGGCTGGGAGGTTGGAGGCGGGGGCAAGAATGAAATTTGCACGGAAGCCCTCTCGAGGTCCAATGCTGGCCACCCACTGGGGAGGGGAGACTCCGTCTGTGGTGAGGCTCCTCCAGCAAAATTAAAGCCAGCAGCCCTTTTAAAGACCCCCTGCCCCAGGCTGCCTGCTGCTGGTCCAAACCTTCCTGCCGGGGTTTCAGCTAGGAGCTAGTTTGAGGGAGGTTAGGGTGGCATAGATACCAGAAATCCAAAAATAATATATATTTAAAAACATATCACTAAAAGGAGGGGGTGGGGGGCGGGGGGAAGGGAGGCGTTTGTTTTCGCCCCTTCCTCCCCTTGGAACAGGCTTCTTTTGCTTGCTGTCTTGTCTCCAGGCTGAAGGGAAAAGGAGTGTCAGGAGCAGGATATACTCTGCATGTCTGCATCTCAACCACTTTATAACATAATGCTTTCATCTGCCACCCCAGCTGATGATTTAAATAAATGCAGGAAATGAAATCAAAATACACTCCTTGCCCCTGCTCAGAAGGGACAGGCCTGAGACAGCCTGCTTTGCCTCTAAAGTCCCAGGGCCTGCCTTTTCCTTCACCACTGCCCTCCTTCCTGACTTTGTCAACCACTATACACAATCCCCTGGCATATGCATCTTCCTTCCATGGGAAGGCTAGGCACAATTAACTGGTGTGAGATCCCAGAGCTCTTAGTACCATCATGCCTTTGCAGCCAAATGAGAGAACGGCAAAATTCAGGAAATTAGTGGTAGGTCAGTTACCTTTTCCTACTTAACATTTAAGGCCTACTACTGAACAGTAATAAGCATTTATGATTTACTCATGTTCTTAAAACTGATATCCATATATCAGCGTGACTTTCTTTGGAAATACAATTACCTACCATGTATTCTCCCATTATAAAATGACTGCGCACAGGAAAAAAGAGAGTGATAAAGAGAAAATGAGAGATGATAGAGAATTCCCTCATATCTAAAACTACTTCCGAGGCTTGTGTTTTTAATTAAATCACTTCTCTACTGCAGAAAAAGGACAGAATTTTCTCATCCGAAGCACAGCGTCCTCACATAAAGTCATGGAGATTACCATTTTGCTGGAAGCATCCTCTCCACTAAGTCCAATGCCACTCCGTACTAGGATCCTAACCTCCAGTTCCATGTAGCTATTAATGATCTGTATTGGTGCCTTCCTAAAAACCAGTGACAGACACCTGCTCGTCTGCATTAAAAGGAATGAGAAAGAAGTTTTTAAAAAGGATTCTAAGGTGAAGTCAACTTTAGGGCTTATTTAATATTAAAGTTATTTTCTACTTCTTATTACAGTTCCTGGATATTGAGAGAGTTCGACTTTCCAAAGAGTTTTTCTCTGGGCAAATGACACTAAATATCAGTAATCTGCAAACAAAACAAAGTTTCCTCCATTCTACATAGCAGAGTTCTAAGCTCCTTTCATGAAAGAAACTAAAAAGACTTTACCAGTCAGGCCCAGAATCCTGCCACTACCCTAATCTGGACCCTTATCATCTGATAGGTACACTAGTGAGTTTCTTCCTTCCTCTAGCACAGCCTTCAGGGTGTCTTGCAACTCACTATCCTAACTCCCACTTCACTGCACAGCCCCATGGCTCCAATACCCTGAAACGCCTAGTTCTGTATTGTGGCCTTCAAGCCTCCGCTCCTCACTCTCTATATGCACTAACTGGACAGTTTTGGTTTGTTTTCCACCACTAGCCTACGCAAGATAAGACTGCTTGTCAGTCAGGCAGCTCTCTCGCTGTCCTAGAAAACACCACATAAATTATATTCATTTTATCCAACATTTGCTGAAGTGCCAGACACCATGTTAGGCATCACAAACATTATTTCATTTAATCCTTTTGATTGAATGGCACATGACTATACCCATTTTAAGGCTGAAGAAACTGAGAGGAAAGAAGTTAAGGTATTTCTCCAACCGAGATGTCACAACAGAGACAAGATTCTTATGCTTGTCTACCTGGCTCCAAAGCTGGCTTAGGATCCACTCTGACACATTCTACCCCGATGCGCCGTGTGCTCTGATCACTCCTCCTTGCCATCTGGGGCGCCTTCTCAACACCACTATACAGATTTGAATCCCACCCAGCTTGCAAATCCCAGAGGAAAATTCCTACCAGTATCTTGAAACTTTTCACCATGCCCGAGTCCTTGGCAGACTGTTGAACAATTCATTATCTGTAGCACTTCCCTGGGACGCCCCTCTGCCTTGTGCTGTCATGTCACTTCTTTTGTTCAGTCCCTTCCAACCACACCGTAAGTGCCTTAAAGATGGGAATTTGCCTTACATATTTTTATACATTACATTATATTCTACCCTCACTCTGCAGAGCCCAATAATATAGCTCCCATCCGTTAAGCACATTCCTCAAGCACAATTCTAAAATGTAGATACTGTTGCTTTTGCAGATAAAAAAAAAAAAAAAAAACCTGGTCCTTTCCGACCCAACAAGTAGCAGATCTGAAGTGTAAATACAGACTATTTGAACAAATACCCCTTTTCCTTAGCCAATACACTATACTGGCTCAAAGACATGGTGCCTCACACAATGTGAATTGATGAAGCATCACTATATAGAGGATACTCACAAGTCTCCAGAGAACACCCTCTAACCATGACTTCCGAAAAAGGTACTGCTTTCTACTCTTACGGTAGGGTAGATTCTGAAAATCAACAAAAGAAAGGAACAGTGTAAACCAACCTATAATAAACCCAGACCACCCTTCCACTCTCCCCATCTATTTAGGATCCATGCCCCAAGTTTGTGAGAGCCAATAATGACATCTGTATCTGTTCCAGTGTTTCTCTAATACAAAGAGATAAGTTGTCCTTCCCCCTAGGGGTCTCTCGTGCCTTTTAAGTACACAGAGGAGAGTAGGAGAAAATGAAAGATTCAAGTGTTGATTTTTTTTTTTTAAATAGCCTGCAAGTGGGGGGGTGGCTAGATCTTGCTGTCTCTGCAGTGCATTTGCAATATTTCTTGCAGTGGGAAGAACCACTGCAAGAAATATTGCAATTAAGCCAATATGTGAACTCCAGACAGCTTCTTGCTCTTCTCTAAGACCTGAACGTGGAAATGGAGATTAATAAAATCTCTAAGAAAAGAAGAACTTCTGAGAGTACAAAAATTAAGGCCTGGAAGTCTACTTTCTCCCATATGGAAATTGTCCCTTCAGCACCAATGCTGAAGAGCTGATTGACAGTATTAAGCAAGTTAGCCTGTTTCTCTACATCCAAAAGGTCTGCAAGCATTGGTTTAAAATAAAACCAAATCTCTTGAAGTGGCAACAGGATACTTCCTATTTTGGTTTCAATATCTGGACAGCTCAAGGACCCTTACCTTGGCCTACAAAACCTGTATTGAAGCCCACAAAATCCTGCAGATGCACAGCACTTAATAAACTAAATCTTTCCATTTATTTTATCTCAGCTGAGGCTCAGAACATGCTTTGAAGCACACCCACCCAGTAGGTATTATTATTATATCCATTTTGTCAATGAGGAAAATTGAAATTTGCCTCAAGTACTTCAATTGGTACATGGTATACCTAGTCCTTGCTCCTGGTCCAGGACTCTTTCTACTACATACCCCAATTATCAGGGTAATTTTCTGCCTTTTCTATGTTCTAGATCCATGTGTGAATGTCATATATCTAAAACCAGGAGCATCTATATCTGAAAAAGATATAGCCAAATTTCTTCTATTGCAATAGCTGGTCTATACAAAGAACCCCCAACCAATCCTAAAGCTATACACACTACATGAAATTTAAGAATTCAAATTTAAGGATTCAAATTAAGAAATATGTGGCTAGTTCTTAAATCTATAGAAGATGGGCAGGCATCCATTTCAAAGGAAAGGTGAATTGTCCTTTGTTTATCCACAATTGTCATTCACTAAGCATTTGCTGGGTACATGATACTCCCTCATCATACTCATAACATAAAATTTAAGAGCTGTTTTGTCTACCTAATAGACTAATACTCCAGGGCCTTTCCCCAGAAAAGATCTGGAATTGGATCTGTCCACCTTATTCACTGACCTTTCAGTTACCCTGAGTAACCAGGGCCCAGCAGGGGCCCTGCTCTAATTTCTGGGCTAAAATAAACCAAGCTCATCAAAGCGGGCAGGATTCAAAGTTCCAAATCGTACAAATGGTTGAAATAAGGACATTCTTTTCATTTCAGTTCAAACTTGGTTAATCTCCATATCCAATCTAACTCTGGGTTGAGAGAGGAACGTATTTGTTGCTTTGGGACTCTTGCCCTATTTCTTTGTCTGCTGGCTGACCTTCCCTATATAAGTGCAGCAGCATTTGCAACATTCAGTTTAAGCAGGAAGGCTCTTTCATCTTTGTCCGCTGGCCTTGATCTCTCCTGATCATTATGGTCTGGATCCCTGCTAATCACTAATGATCCCGTGGCCCTCTATGTAGTACTAAAGGTATTAAACCTGAACTCTTAGAAAAATTCCTACTCAGCTAATTACATTCTTTCTGCTTTTTTTGGTACTCCATGTAGTCTCTGTTGGAGTTAAATTTGATTTCCTCAGATTTTAAATTGTTTGTTGGTGGTTTGGGAAAGCACTTATCAACTCTTCCCCCAAATGAGTTCAACTAATTATGATTCAAAAGTCGACCTCTCTCCCACTTCCTCTCTCATTCCATTGACTGCTTTCCTATCCCCTCTCCCATATTCTGGTCTTGAACAGCCTAAGAGTTTAAATTCACTGGTAAGGAGTCTCAAGATTCTGTATTTTATACAGCAGACAGCATATTGTTAATTTATAGCAGTATACAGTAGTTCTACTCTATATCTACTTTGGGGTCTGTGTTTGCATCAACTGCTAAAAATGACAAGTGTTTCACCCTACAGGTTAGGCTTCATCTAGAATCTAAGGATTGATGAGTTTTTTGGTAATGGCAAATTGCTCACTGGATAGTATACAGATTAAGTTTGATTTCTTAACTGAGTATGATGCTTTTCTAGTCCAAGAGATGTGGAGTACTAATTTTATAAAATTATACAGATTTTAGCTCATGATATTTTTTACTTTTTTCTACTCAATTCTATATTCTAGGACTTAACAGCTTTTGTAATGATAGCAGCAAATTGGAAGTGTCATAGAATCCAGATCAATCAAATTCCTGACAATATAACTTTCTGAAATAATACATCTATACCGCATATCAATATACCATACATGTATGTAACTGTTAATAATTCATTGACAATCAAAGAGAATGTATAGTCCCTTTGTTAGCTTTTACTCCAATGGTTCTGCATTATTCAGCTATGTTTGTGTAATGACTTTAAAACTAGTTTTAAATGCTACTCAAGAAAGCCATCTCATTGTCTTTCTGATTGTTTTGAACTCAAATTATATTACCCAGACTTGATTCCCACCTTAATGTCCAGGGCACTGAAGATCTTTAAAGGAAGATGACTTACCACCTCGAGGCTTTCTAGCAAGATGTGCTTTGGGTTCTGAAAACATTCTCAAATAAAGAACTCCAAAATAGGTTTGAGCAAGGGAAGCATTACATCAGTAAGTTTCAACCTTCCAGGAAAAGGACACACTAAAATCTATGTGTAAGCCCTGGTATAGTTGACTGCATTAGTTTAGAGTCATACCTTGGTTAGATAGTTTCAGTCCTACAGCACAATGTTAGTGCTAAATATAAAATGATTCTTAGCATCTTGGCTTCTAATGTTATACCCTTCAAAAATTTACATTCTTTAGGTGGATCTTACAGATTACATACAAAAATGTCTTGATAGTCAAGGATCTAGCCATTGTTTTCAATGCTTTCAAGAATTATCCAAGGAAAATAAACAATTGAAACTATAAATAACTGGGATAAACATATTGGCTATGTTTTTCTATGTCATTAAATCACTGATTTTTTTAAACAGGTGTACTTGTGACTACTTGTGTTTTGTGTGCTTGACTTTACTGTAGTAAGAACTTCAGGTTGATGGATAAAAGGAATGTGGTTTTTATTTTAAATAAAAATACAGTGGATTCACTTACATAAAACCAGTCAGCCCACAATACCATATAATGAGCAAAACTTTTTTTAAAGGAAAATTGTATATTCTAAAAGAATTAAAATAATTAAAAGAACATCATAAACACCATTAAGGTCCTTCAGACTTTGCTTTAAAAAAAAGTTTTAAGGAGAAAAAAAACATGGTACAGGGCACAGGCTAGAAAAAAATTGATGATTTCTAATTTTTCTTCTCCTGACTTACTACTTGAAATAGTAATTCTACATTTGCATATATGAAAGGCCACAGGTGTTTTTTTTTTTTTTTTACTCTTTCATAATAATATTCCTTGAGCTTCTTGGAGCCAAAGGAGACATATACATAGCTTAGCTACACTTCAACAATTATTTATTAAAGAACCATAGGGATCAATGGCAAAGTGAAGTATAGGACCTATAATAGATAATGAATACTTACTGAATTAATGAATGGAGGAAAAGAAAACCATATCTTGGATCAACACATAGGTGTCCATTACAAAACTAACTCCCACAGGATTTGATCCATGTATGCACAGCTTCTGGTATATAATAGAAAGCCTAAAGCATATGCTTAGATTTGGATAATTATAGATTTCAGAATTCATTCATTAGGGCCCTAGCCTTACTTCTGAACCTAATCACTTGTTTCAAGTGACTCCTAATAGAATCAAGATTTTTAGCAGCCACCGGGGTAAATTGTAATCATTCAGACTGGAGTTTTACAGAAAATTTACCTAACTGCCATACTTGAGATAAACTGATCATTTCACCCATCCAACATTCCTGCTAAATATGGTATCTCATTTAAGCTGGCAGATGATTATGGTTCACAACAAAGGTATAACATAAACATACTAGTTTCCTCACTTTCCCAATGATTCAATCTCAGAAGATGTTTGTTTGAGCTTGTAAGTAGAGCTCTCTGACTGACTGACTATGGATTTATATAACATCCTGTTCCTCAGTTTCTATAATAGAATAGGAAGAAGACAAAACCCTCTTCTCCCTCCTGTGGGACCTTTTTTGAGTATATTGATAAATACCTACAAAATGATATATGCTACTACCTCTTTCAGCATTTTGAAAGATGTCAACCAAACACAAAATATTTTTGGTGTGTGAATTAAAACGCCTCTTACTGATGGTCTCAGATGTTTCCCTTGTAAGGTAGTGTGTCAAGGACTGGCTTATGTATTATCCGCTCTCCAGAACGCACTGACATCACACTTCATAATAGCTTGGTATGAGGGCTGCTGTCAAACTCGCCTGCATGGAAACATCCGTGCCCTAGATTGACACAATGCATTAGCGTGACAGAGGACTAAAAAAACTAAGCAGGGTGCGAAGTCCCACTTAGAGCACACGGGATAGAGGGGTGCATCACCGGCGACACGAGGGCCCCAATCCTTGAGCTTTAACCTGGGTAGAAAATAAAAGTTGCCCAGAGGTCTGGTTGGCGGGTGTGAGGGCGGCCAGGCAGGGAAGAGCTCGCAATCGCAGCAGAAAAATTATACATTGCTATTTAAATCCGCACCCCACCAGGGACAGAGCTCAGGGTCTCTTTCCCGTGGCCACCAAACAAGGGCACACGCTTGGCTGGTAAATAAAATTGAGGAGAGGGACGGGAGGGCGCGACGGGTCCGAGGTCGGACTGGGGAAGCCACGGGGCTGCGAGGGGGAGCGGGGTCCCGCCAGCTCGCTCGGCTTTGGCGGGGCGACCCCGGGTTCCCGCCTCGGCTTTCGGGGGGCTGCGCCGCGCCGCGCTGGCGCCTCTGGCAACACCGAGCTGCGCCCACCCGCCCGGCCCGCCGCCCTGTGGGGTGCGCGCGGGCCAGACTCCCCAGGCGCGCTGCTCCCCACCTGCGCCGTGAGAACCGAGCAACCCGAGCCGCCGGCCCAAAGGCACACAGAGCCCCCAGAGGGCCCCCCAACCTCGCTCCTCTCGCTGCCGGGGCGCAGGGGGCAGCGCGCGGCTTTGCCAGGACGGCTCCCCGGGGGCGCCCCGCTGAGGGGAAGCCTTGAGCAGGAGGAGGTGGGACCCCGCGCACGCGACACCCCCGCCCCCAAGCAGGGTCCTCTGTCAGAGGGACTCTCACCTCAAATGAACGGGCCGGGCCGCGCCGGGACCTCACTGCGAAGGACGCGCAGCCTCGCGCGGTGGAGCGGAGCCCCAGAGGGTCGGGCCCGCACAACCTCCTCGGGAGGGAGGCCTCTACCGACGGCCCGCGGAGCTGCAGCCGCCGCCGGCCCCGCCCCTCGCCGCCGGCCCCGCCCCTCACCGCCGGCCCCGCCCCTCACCGCCGGCCCCGCCCCTCACCGCCGGCCCCGTCCCTCACCGCCGGCCCCGCCCCTCACCGCCGGCCCCGCCCCTCCCCGCCAGCCGACTTCATCCCGCCTGCATCTTCCTTTCTCACTGCCCTCGGGTGCAATCCGTTCTGCAGAAGACCGACGCGAAGCGACATGGAAATCCTTCCACTAAAATGAGCTGTGATATCCTTTTGATGGCTATAATTTATTCCAAGTCGTCCCTGGACTGAAACGATCAATTAGCAGCCCGAAACGCACTGTGAAGTAAATTGTCACACTCTCTATTACAGGATGGTTATCATATATTTATAAGGTGTGTTTTCTGCAATCAGAACCAACAAGGTGTTGAATGATCAGTCATAAACGCACTTATTCAAAAAGAGCGAGAGAAGCTCCAGCATTGTGTGGCCGGGGAGAAATCTGTATGACAGTTATCACCTCTCCTCTACCTTCCAGCCAAGGGTGATGTTTCTTCTGGGCAACTGAAGGTGAGAGCTCTGCGAGGACACTCCATTGGCCACGCTGTGATGTCTGGAGCAGTGTCCCTCTGCGACAAGGAGACTCACTGCCCCAAAAGGAAGAGTCTCCTTATTGTGTAAATACATATTTAAGTTATAACATCACTCACTCTTTCTATGTCTTCCCTATATCCTGGAGAATATCTTACTTTGCTTCTAAGATTCTAGCACAATGTAGCATTCTATACTTAATCTTAAGTGTCTCTTTTCCTCCTGGTCTCAGGGTGTTGCCTTCCGAGCTCTGTTATTTAATTTTTATGTAGTGTAGATATGCTAGGGTGAATCAAGGTTACCATGGGAGAGAACTCTGCCTGCTTGGAGTCTGTGTCAGAGAACACAGACTTCACTATTCATAAATGAGATGCTGCAAAGCTCTGAGAAAGCCATAAGGAATTCTCATTCAGTTGGGTAGTTTTCTTGAACTGGACAAAGCCATGGAGACATTGTTATTTTCCTTATGGTCATCCCCAGAGGTCTTAAATATATATCCAGAACTTCTTAGTTTCCCCTAACAAAATGTCATCACATTGTCATCCATCAACCATCACTCATACCGAGAAGGGTTGTTTCTAGTAAATATTCCTTTTTTCCTGAAAAATGTAGTTCTAGGTCCCATTGTACTGATTTTTGATTGTAAGAAAAGTTTAGCAGTCAGACGTGGGTATTATGGCCCACATTTGTAGAGAGTGAATCACAAAATGAGGAGATAAGATGTGGAATTTACACTATTCTTAGATTAACGGACTATGATTTTTGTATGACACGGATTGGCTGCTGTGTCAACCTCTGAAGAATGGAGAAAAAGGAAATCTGGGCATTTGAGCTATAGAAGCAGTTGTTGCCATTGGATCTCCCCCAGCATAAATGGGGCATTATTCTCAGAAAGCAAAGGGGCTAGAACCCACCGCCTTAACTTGTACCTTCTGATATTACTGATCCAATTTGCAGTCAATAGCTAGTATTTATTAAGCACTTACTCCAGACCAGGCACTCATTGAGCTTTAAATTATATGCCTATTTTATTTATTCTTATCAAAAATTTTGTGAGAAAGTTTCATTTTGCCAATAAGAAAACTGACACCTGGCAAGCTTAAATAATTTATGCAAGGTCACGCATATAGTGAGTGATGATCTTAAACCCAGTCAGTCTCCAATGCCTATGTTCTTATACTTCAAAAATTCAAGATTTTGACTTAATGTCTTTCCACCAAAAAGATTTTAGTGGACTTGATACAATGAGAGTGGTGAATTCTGGGAGAATAATGAAAGAGCAGCTGTTTGCAAAGAATATAGAATATATACTTATACCCCTACCCAGGTAGATTTCCCCTTCTCTATTGTACCCTCCCTATATCCCACGATTTCTTTTTCAGTTATCACCTGCCAACTGGTGTCTAACCAAAGAGAGTTTACCCGAAGTCAGTGATGACTGCTAAGCTTGGAAAGGTGGGGGTTTGGGGCGGGGGGTGAAGGGTAGATGCAGCAGACCCCAGAGATAGCAGAGCACCCGAAGAAGGAGCCTTATGTAGAAAACCAGACTTGGCCAGAGGCCCTTGTCCCAGACCCCCAGCTCTGAGAATGAAATGTTGCTTCCTAATGGACTTTAAATTACTAACATCGCTAAACTCTCCCTTAATAGACTTGTAAAGATCTGCTTGCTACCTTTCCCCCCCTTCATGTAGAATTTGTAATCAAGAGCCCAATTTTGTCATTTGGAAATACTAATTATCTAATCACGCCATGCTGCATAACGTACTTGTCTGCCCAATTAGCTAGGACAATTATTAAAATTCAGAGGCCTAATTATGTCTCAATTTAATGCTGGCAAACTTGCATACAGAGCAGTAATTAAAATCCTCTCTTTCCCTCTGCCTTTAGGGCAGAGGATGATTAGGCCCTGTCAGGGGGTGTACTGAACTGAACCAGTGAAGCGTATTGTGCAACATGACCCTGCATTGTTAAGTGTGTCAACATATTAACCTGAATTCCCTTCAGCCCCCACATAATCACATTTGGTGGAGGAATAAAGGAAGCTAAAACATGAAGCATTTTATTAAAAAAACATAAATTCTTTTTAATTAATGCTATGAGAGTTCTGATGAATTTCATGCTTCCAAGTGCTGGAAGACATAAAGACTGGCTCATCTAATTACTAGTAAATTTGCTCTTGTTAAAAGTACTTTTTTTACTCATTTAAAGAAAATAATTTTTTTGGTGGTATAATCAAAAAAAGAAAGGAAAAAACCCTAGCTAGTTGGCTTCCAGTGATACAGTTGATTACCAGATCTGTTTGATGATGGAACACAAGTGAATGTTGACTTCCAAAAGAATCAAACCCAGGGCTGGAGGCATTTTTAAAAAAGGCTAGAGTTTAATACATGAAACAGCAAAACATTAAAAATCATAATATTGAAATAAATTCAAAATATTTATCTTTTGAGCTCTTCAGTTTGATGTCTGAAATGAAATAATCATATGAAGACCAGGACACTGTATAAATTCACTGCTCTGGAAGCCCCTCAGCATCAGGAACCCAGACAGTGTATCTGCTCTGCAAGCACCTCAATCCTTTTTCTAAACTAAGGAGAACCACAAAATCCATCACAACTTCAGAGATGTCCTCCAAATTCTGGTACCATTCATGACAGAATGCATGATAGATTATTCAAGTATTCAAGAGAAGAAGGAAAGTATTCCATCTTGACCAAAATTGGATTATTCTGGAGAAAACTTTCAGTTGCTTCCAAACGTCTTGCTGCATGGATAGCTTCCAGAGAGCAAAACACACACACACACACACACACACAAACACAAACACAAGCGCGCACAAGCATGCGCGCAGTCCCACTTATTTGGGCAGATCTTACTCTCAACTGCTTTCACTTTGAATCTGTGACAACCTGACATAGTAAGTAAGACAATTACTACATGGGGCAATTAAGATACTGTCCACTACTTCCTAATCATGGCCAGGGCAAGACTAAAACTGAGTTCCCCTTGCTGCCCAGTGCATTAGCCATCAGAAAGAGTGGCTGTGGACACCAATGAGGAATAAGGAATACCTGCTTTCATAGAATATCTCCAATTGAGACCAAAGTACAGATAATGTAAGTAACGAGGCAAGAAGGGACCAGCCTATATACTAAATACTGGAGGCCCTCTCTCTTCCAGTCAATACTTATTTGTAACATATTAGTCACATCTGTTCACTTTTGATACCTTTGATATCTTCTCTCTTTAAATTTCTGTATTTGACTAGGTATGTATAGTTATATCTGACTGGGTGGTAGAAAAGGTAGAATTCCTTCCTCCTAATCTTGCACTGAAACTGAACACAATGTGGGGCAGAAGATGGTGCTGGGAACAATTCTGCCTGGTACATGCCCTCCTACTACCGACTGATCGTCTCCACAGGAGCTGGTTGGCTGGAGCTAGGACAGGCCCTTAGGCGCTTGTGCTATAAAACTAGAGGGGTGGCCCCTCCCCCCCGACCTCCCACAGAGTGTGCCCTATGTCTTGAAAATGGCCTTGCTCTGAGTCTCTTTGGATGGCAAACTGAAGTGCAAATCTGTGTTCTGACTTGTTCCCGTGGCTGTCAGCATGTTTTCCTCTTGTCAGCAGCAATTGACTGGTCAGGCTCACCCCTGTACAGCAATTGTAACAGCTCATTGACAGACTGGTGACCCAGCTGGACCTGATAATGGAAAACTATTGATTTTTGTGGGCTCCACGAATCTAAAATGAAGGACCGATGTAATGTCATCAATTGTCTCAGACTCTGATAACCCAAGGGAAGAAAAGTTTCGGGACTGCTTGAATTTCCTGACAATGGTGTTTCAAAATCCCACTGAGTACATGTTTTTAAAAAAGATCATTTCCTGGTGTTTTCCTTAAATAACCCTGATTAGCCCATCAGGGCTTCAGTACCCTAGCGTTGGATGTTAAATACAGTGGGAGTTAGCATTGCCAACTAGCCAATAGGTCCAATACACCATTCAGGAAAGACATTGATGGACAGGCACTTTGAGAAGAAAATGTTAAAGGTGTTTTTTTGTTATGAAACAAACTCACAGAAAAAAAAAAAATTGGGAGAGAACCAAAACATATTGCCTCTCAATGTATGAAACTGTGATAGAATCCCAGGACTGTAATTAGCCTGTGTCTGTTAACTATGCTGATTTTTAGTAGAAAGGCCATGGGTGTCTGCCGGGAGAAATAACTATTTAGTTTTGTATTTAAAACACTCTTCTCTTTAGTGGATAATTTCAAAACTCTCATTGTTCAGTCTATTCTTCAGAAACAGTTTCTTAAACCAAATTAGCAATGGGTTAGAGCTAATTTTGCC